CGGCTGTCACCTCTTCCAAATTTGGGCATGCCTTCACGTGTGGTATATCTTCATGCAACGTAGCATCTTCGACACGCAGACGTCACAGGGGAGACGTCACAGGGGGACCACGTAAGCAGCCTTGCGGAATCAAGGGCGCCTCCTACTCAGCGAACGCCCGCCAACAACGGCAAACTCTGAACCCTGAACCCTAAACCCTAAACCCGAAATTACTAAACCTTAAACCCTAACCCTAAACCCTAAACCCTAAACCCTAAACCCTAAACCCTAAACCCTAAACCCTAAACCCTAAACCCTAAACCCTAAACCCTAAACCCTAAACCCTAAACCCTAAACCCTAAACCCTAAACCCGAACTAACCCCCAAACCCTGTCAAGCCCAGACCACGACAGGGACCTCCCACTGGCCCTCGTAGACGCGGCCGTCGGCCCATCGCTGACGACCGTTGCCGTGGAAGAAGTCTTCCTTGAAGGCTCCCTGTGTCAGCTGCGCTAGGGTTTAGGGTTTAGGGGGTTTAGGGGGTTTAGGGGGTTTAGGGGGTTTAGGGGGTTTAGGGTGTTCAGGGTTTAGGGTTAGGGTTTAGGGTTTAGGGTTAAGGGTCCAGGGTTTAAAGGGTTTAGGGGGTTTAGAGTGTTCAGGGTTTAGGGTTTACAGGGTTTAGGGAGTTTGTCATGCTTGAAATCGGCCGGGGGGGCCTTGGTTTAGGGTTTGAGGGGGCTTAGAAGGGAGTCGCGCGTACCCGGCTTCGAAGTTGAGCCGCTGGAGAGTTCGAAGGGTTTCGAGCTCGAAAGTTTGGGGGAATTTCGGAGCTTGAAGTTTTCAGAAGCGACGCCCCTCGCATATTCATAGAGGTGTCCTAAGTGTCAGACTCTTCGAACCCGAGAATCGTCAAAAGTCAAGGCTTGCAGCTTCGAACTTTCGAACTCGCTGAAGGTCCAACTCTGACATGATATCGAAGGTTCAATCTCTCGACTTCCCCAACTCTCAAACTCCCAAACAAAAGAAGTCTGCAAATTCGACAGAGGTTCTCGAACTCCAAACCCGATCTTTTTGAAACTTTGGAGCTCGATATTCGACCTCGCCTGGTTTGACCCCATGAGCGCCTAAGCCTACCTTGAATTTAGGAAGTTCAAAAAATGAGAGTATTCGGGAACCTTGGGTTACTAAACCCTAAACCCTAATCCCTAAACCCCGAAACCCTGAACCCTAAACCCTGCACCCTAAACTTTAGACCCTGAACCCTAAACCTGAACCTGAACCCTAAAGCCTAAAACCCGAAAATTGTATAAACTCCGGGTCGCTCCTCTTGTCAGTCTCCAAAGCTTCGAGCTCTCGAACTCCCAGCTTCAAATGTTAAACCGTTTCCAACTCTCAAGGATGCGAAGCTCGAAACAAGTAATTTCTCATGACCCCTATCAGGGGGTCTAGGAATTTGGGTTTAGCGTTTAAAGTTCAGGGATACTAGTAGGGTATAGGGTTTAGGGTTTAGGGTTTAGGGTTTAGGGTATAGTGTACGACCTCATATAGTCGGCTTTGTCGGTTCCATTTGGTGACTTCAACAAGGTGCAGTTCAGGCGTTTCGGGTCTTGAATGTATTACAAGGCCGTCGGAGGCCCTCCCCCTCCCCGCCCACCCCCCCCCCCCTCCGGCCAAAAAAAACACACAAAATCCTGAAAAGCAAAAAAAGCTCCCGAAACCCTTTACCCCCTCACTCCACAAGCCCAAAACCGTAAACCCTAACCTCCTAAGCTCTGCACCCTCAGCCCCTCCACCCTCAACTGCGCCGCCTTGTACTCGGAGCCGTCTGGCCAACGGAAGGTGCCCTCGCCGGACTTCTTTCCCTGGACCCAGCCTCCGCACCCAGGAAATTTGGGCTTAAGGGTTTAGGGTGGAGGATGGTTGAGGGTTGAGGGATTACGGCTTGGGGTTGAGGGTCGAGGAATTAGGGTTCAGGGTTGACTGAGGGTTTCAGGTGTAGGCATAAGGTGGCCCCACGGCGTGCGAGGTGTCTGGGGTGCCGGTGGTTCTTTCCTCGGACCCTAAACCCTAAACCCCAAACCCTAAACCCTAAACCCCAAACCCCAAACCCTAAACACCATCTGGGCATGCGGTTGTCTTATCAGTCAACTGTGCAGGGGCGTGCGGAGTGAGTGCGAGGGGCCAAGGAAGGATCCTTACAAGGGAACACACGGATTTTTCAGGGCCACTGTGTACTTAGGCACAGAGAAACTATACTCTGTGTGTATTTATATATATATATATAGATACAGGGTAGTAAGACTCAAGATGAAGGGTTCTGCCAGTAGCATTGGCGGCGTGCCAGCCTGAAAACAGGATCGCATGGGCAAGCAAAGCCCCGCCTCCCGAGTAGCGGCCGCAGTCGGCGTAAAACTCCTGATCCGGCACCAAACTTGCTTGTGGAGGGTTCAGGGTTTAGGGCTCCATTGTAGAACCCGCTGAAGTGGAAGAAAGATTCAGTGTTCGGGGGCACTAGCGAAAAAGCACCCTCTCATCTAAGTTGGCCTAGGTCTCGCACTCATCCTACACATTGTCCGACCTTGAGCCTACGCTAGATGGCTGAGATGAATCTACCGCAAGAAGGCTTTAACGTTTAGGGTTTGGGGTGTAGTTGCCACAGCAGAACACTTATAGGTGTTAGGGTTCAGGGTTTAGATTGAAGGGAGTGGCCGCAAAACATAAGGTGTGTGATCAAAGTTCCAGTTCCGATATCGTTCTCTTACTGTCAAACCGTCAAAGAATAAATCTTCTCACCCCGAACTGGCATATGACGTTTTCAGCGCTACCCAAAAAGAACTTGCCGTCAGAACTCAAGAACGAAGCAATCAAGCAGGGAAATTACACGTGCTTTCAAGCAGGTGCTCCAGTCATCCTTGTCACCGTAACCCAACACCCTTCAGCCCTTAACACTCTGTAAACTCTAGGCCCTGAATCACGAACCCTAAACCCTGGACCCTGAATCACTAAGTAATCCAATAAAGAGCAAACCCGAAGTCGCCCAACCCCAGCCCTAAAAGCCTTCAAGCTCTCCTCCACAAGGCCTTGGCTTAAACCCTAAACCCTCCTCTACCGTACCCCAACACCCAAAAAACGCCCCCCCACCCCCCACCAACCCCTCTTTCCTCCCCGAAGCCATGCTTCAAGTCGTTTCGCCAGTCACCTTCATACCTCGAGGGAGCCGGTATGGGCTTTTTGGGTGCTGGGGGTGTAGGGTTTAGGGTTTATAGGGTTTAGCGTGTGGGGGCTTTGGTTTGGCTTAGGCCCAAGCAGGGGGCTTAGGTGGAGCGTGTGCGAAGGTTTGGTGTCCGCCTGCCTCACGTGACTGGCGGAGATGTGAACGCCGCGGCCATGAGCCTGGCGCTTGAGCTTTGCCCAAGGGTTTAGGGTTTAGGGTTTAGGGTTTAGGGTTTAGGGTTTAGGGTTTAGGGTTTGGGGGGGGGGGGGGGTGGTTGGGTTGTTTGGGCCAGGCACTCGGGAGGCCCCAAAACCAGGCGGTTTGGAAGAACCCAGAAATAACCTAGGAATGAAAAGGGTGCCCTTGTCGGTTTTCAGGGGACTATTAAGGGAACCCCAACCCTAGAGAAAGGAAGTAAGCGCGCCGATGTACTAGCTGAAGCCAGGAGTGCCAAAGAGCCAACTTGCTTAGGGTTTAGGGTTAAGGGTTTAGGGTTGCGTTTAGGGCCACTGTAGTATCGGGTAAGTAGAGAATTCCATGACGCAAGCCATGGCCAAGGCACGTAGGCGGGGTACGTGGGCTTCAAGAAAAACTTCCTACATGTAGCGACTGTCCCCAAGCCCCAAACCCCCAAAAAAAACAACCCTAAACCCTAAACCCTAAACCCGAAACCCTAAACCCTAAACCCTAAACGCTAAACCCTAAACCCTAAACCCTAAACCCCTAAACCCTAAACCCCGACTTCCAGCCTTTCCGTTCTTCCACTGGCCGTCGTAGACGTCGCCCTTTGCATGAGGGAGAGCCGTCTTGAGGCACCAGAAGGGTTCTGGGGCTCAATTTTAGGGTTTAGGGTTTAGGGTTTAGGGTTCTGGGTTCTGTGTCTCCTAAGTGCCAAAGGGCCCTCAAAGATTGTGTATGGAATTTTCATCGTGAACCGTGGATGAAGGTTTAGGGGGCTTCTAGGGACTAGTTAGAGAGACTCAGCTCAACCCCAAAACTCCCCAAATCGCAATCCCCGAGCCCAGTTTGGGCCGTTTCTTGGGATGTTCCCCCTTATACTAGCAGTCCTTCCTGGGAAGTATTACAGGGGTACTATAATCCCTACGAAGGACTGTTAGGGTTTAGGGTTTCGGGTTTAGGGTTTAGCAGCAGGGGGAACATCCCCAAGCCAAATCCCTTAGATCCGAGCCTGCTCCATGCGACCCTGTCCTTGGCGTCTCGGGCCGGCGGAAGTCGGGTTTAGGGTTTAGGGCTGAGGGTTGAGGTAGGAGGCTTGGAAGCATTGCTTCGGGCTCAGGGCTTTCTGGGCTCAGGGGAAAAAGCGGGTCTCAGAGATGTGGGGTGGGTGGTTCCGAATTTGGGGGCTGCCCTTCTTTCCAGGTGGCTAGTCGCATTCAGCCGCGAAACCCCCAACTCTTTCGGGTTTGGGGTAAGGTCTTGGGCGTACTTGGCCCTAAACCCTAAACCCTAAACTCGGCCACGTGGCCGTGTGGCAAGTCGTGGTACCACTGCCCGACGTAGCGCGCCCCATCGGACCAGGTCTGCCACAACTGGGGTTTTGGGTTTAGGGCCGTGTAGGGTTTAGGGTTTAGGGTTTAGTGTTTAGGGTTGAGGATTTAGGGTTTAGGGTTTTTAAGGTTTAGGGTTTAGGGTTTAGGGTTTAGGGTTTAGGGTTTAGGGTTTAGGGTTTAGGGTTAACAGGCCAGCCTCCTCCATCTAAATACCACCCCAACCAACTCAGAATTCTTAGCAGATATTACATGATGTTCTATTTTGGAGGCACTTCTTGCTGAGAAGGGTGGGGTGCTTAGTTTGTCTTCCCTGAGTCCTTGTGGGGGTTGGCGCTACAGTCAAAAAGCCACCGCATAAGAAACCACTCCAGAACAAGAACCAAAAAAAAGAACCCTCAGGTCGGAAGTTTCGGGCGATGTGCGGTGACCTTACAGCTCTAACTGGTCCATAAGTACCATGAACTTCCAAGTACACTGCACCCAAAAGCCAGATCCCAAAACGCATGACGCGCCCCCAGGACACTCGACACGAGGAACCTTCTGGCCTGAAAACTTCAACAAGCCTCAGTAGGGTTTAGGGTTTGGGGTTTGGGGTTTGGGGTTTGGGATTTGGGATTTGGGGTTTGGGGTTTGGGGCGAAGGGTCCCTGCCACCCCCCCTCCCCCCTTTCCAGGATGCCTGGACGCCTTTCCCATGCCGCCAAGAGCCTTAGCCCATTTTGGTCGCTTTGGGGGGGGTGGGGGGGGGGTTAGGGTTAGTAGCTAGGGTTAGGGTTTAGGGTCTCGGGTTTAGGGCTTAGGGTTCTGGGTTTCAGGGCTTGCTCTTGCGGGTTTGAAGGGGACCGTGGGTTGGGCTGAGGGCTGAAAATGGCTTCAGAGCTCCTTGGGGTTGAGGGCATCTGGGGACTTGAGGGGTTCATGGGGTTGAGGGTTTTGGGGGTTTGAAGGCGCTTTTTTGGGGTTGAGGGATTGCAGGGGTTTCAAGCTTTCAGCACTTTAGTGGATTTTGGGGCTTCAGGGCTGTGGGCCACACTCCCAAGAACTGGAGCATCCTCTCCAGGCCTTTTGGGAAGCCTTAAACCCTATAAGGCCCTGACCCCGAGGCCCCTTACTAAACCCTAAACCCTAAACCCTAAACCCTAAACCCTCAACCCTCAACCCTAAGCCCCAAGCCCTAGACCCTTCTTCTTGCACCGCGAAGAAGCCCAACCACTCTCCCTGGTAGCTCCCGCCATCCTTGTCTTCGACTTTGGGGCGGGCCTGGCCAGGCACAAGCAGGGGCCCCGATGCTTTGTGGACTTGACTGTTTACACGCCCTAAACCCTAAACCCTAAACCCTAAATCCTAAACCCGAAACCCTAAACCCTAAACCCTCAACCCAAGCAAGTGTCAGGGATTTAGGGTTTAGCCAATTCGCCGAGGCCCCTGAGAACTGTGGGCCGTCCCTTGAGGAGATGATGGACGTGTTAGGGTTTAGGGTTTCGGGGTTTCGGGTTTAGGGTTTCGGGATCAAAGGGAGTTTTCGATTATGTTTGCCTTCTTTCCCGTCTGCACTCCATTTGTGCAGCTCCACGAAACTCATCCCAAAGCTTCCCCGGACCCGAACCCTGACACCAACAAACCAAGCGGGCATTTAGGGTTTAGGGTTTAGGGATTATAGGGTTTAGGGTTTAGGGTTTAGGGTTTAGGGTTCCCCCGACCTGGATCTTCTGCTTCTTGGCGGCGGCTGTGACCGGCGTCGGCGTGACCTTTACAGCCTCTCCAGCATGCCGGAAGGGTTTGGGGTTTAGGGTTTAGGGTTTAAGGATGTAGGGTTTAGGGTTTGGGGTTTAGGGTTTAGGGTTTGGGGTTTAGGATTTAGGATTTGAGCCTCTGGTTTAGGGTTGAGGGCTGCAAAGACAACGAGCAACAAACGTCACAAAATGATCAACGCGCAGCCGGCATGCGAAGACCTGATGCCTAGCGCGTTTCAGCATTTCTAAACTCTAAACCTTCTGAATCAGTACGGGGCTGGGGGGGGGGGGGGGGGGGCTGCAAACAGGGGTTCCATTTGCGGGGGTTAACCCTTGAAGGTCTAAACAGCATCCTAACCCTAAACCCTAAACCCTATCTTGGAAGCTGCACTCATGCACTTTGCTTCGCTCTACACACACCCCGGCCTCTCAGCATTCTGGCCTCCACAGGACTGCCCTAAAGGGCTCCCGTCAGGGCTCTTCCCGACAACATGGAGTCCCCCAACGGAAATCCAGTGCTGTTGGGTGTCAAAGGCTCGACGGATTAGGGTTTAGGGTTTAGGGCTTAGGGTTTAAGGTTTAGGGTTTGGGGTTCAGGGTACTATAACCGCAAATTGGACTCAAGCCGCAAGCAACCCGCCCCCGCCCCCTCCAGAAGTAGACCCAGAACCCTGGACTCCCTAAAGTTAATGAAGGGCGGCGTCCGGTTCAGGGTTTAGGGTGTAGGGTGCAGGGTTGGAAACCCCAATACTTCCCAGGCCTTGCAAACATTGTCGAATGGCTTGGCCTGCCCGGGCGACCGCAGTTGACTCGAAAGGCACCCACAGAAGTTTGAGCTGGAAATTAATTTTCAACCATACCCCCCCCCCTTTTTCCCCCCTGCCCTTAGGCCACACCCAAACCAGCTTAACATTATCCTAAGCTGCCCGAAAGGCCCGGAAAAACCGTCATCCGCCTCCATCTCATCCGTCCCAGCCACCATCTGCATCGCGCAGTCATCTGCGGCATCGGCCTCGTTGCCGTATTTTGGTCAGTTCCTCTGACGACCCCCAATCCCCCAGGCACTGCCAGGAAATTGGGGGGGCGGGGGGGAGCAACCCAGGAAACCTCAAAAAGGGTTGGGGCTCCGGGTTTTGTGGGTTTTTGTGCTTCAAGGCGTCCACCGCCCACGTCCCAGAGCTAACCAGTCTTGGGGGGGGTTTCAGGGTTGGGGCTTCAGGGAAGGGCTGACTCTTTCGGGCCTTCTGTCTTCCCCAAGAAGCCCCAAACCCCTTCACCTCACTGTCAAAACCCTAGTCTCGTCCTGGCTGTGGCACTGAGGCTGCTGCGTTGATGATTTTGTTGACGACGTCCCTGCATCCAAAGCAGAAGATCACTAGATTTTTGTTGGGTTCCTGGCTTAACTTGCGGTTGATGGGATACTGTAGGCTCTCACTATAGGGAGAGGGCTTAACTTGGGGTTGATACCATTGATCTTACATACTTTTCATAGGGCTTCTCGGGCTTGAATGTTGAAGCATCGATTTCTGTAAGGTCTAGCAGAGAGAGAAATCCATGTTGCATTCAGGAGCTGCTGCTGTTGGGGCATTGACCGCTGGGCTCTGCGCAATCTCACGGCAAACTCACGCCCACCAAGCAAGGCGTAAAAGGCCGAACAACTCGGAACCGAATGTCAACAAGCAAACCCCAACAAGGAGCTTACACAAAACCGGAGCGGTCCCTAAACCCTAGCCCCAATGCTTGGGCTCTAGATTCCCTAGCCTGGGCGTAGCCTGGCCTTGCTTGTATGTCGTTTTCGGCATGGGTCAGCCAAGCACCAGAACAGGTGTTGTCGTCGGCCCTGTCGCTTTGGTTTTGGCTTACGACAAGCGGATTGGGGCTGTGTCAGTTACCAAGACTCCCAACCTGTACCCTACCCTAAACCCTATAAGCCCTATAAACCCTGTAAACCCTATAAACCCATAAGCCCCATAAACCCTGTAAACCCTACAAACCCCAGAACCCTATGACTCCTAAACCCTGTGACTCGTCAAGCCTGCACTCGCAGAAGCCCCCCGGCTGGCTGGAAGAACTTCCCATGGGCTAGGCCTGCGCTGGTTGGGCTGAGGGGGGGGATCAAAAGAAGGCCCCCCCCTTCACGTTGGCTCTTGATTTGGGAACTTTTCTGTACCCAATTTAAACCCTACAACACGCACGCATATCCTATATACAGTATATACACATATTCTGGCGTATGTGTTTATTCATGTGAAAAATGTAATATGTATACCTTTAAGAACCTTCTCTCCACCAGAAAAAAAGCCAAGGGCCCACACCCCCGTATCTAACTCCGGGCGCTTGAAACCCTATCGTAGTGAGGGGTTGTTCAGGGTTCAGGGTTCAGGGTTTAGGGTTTAGGGTTCAGGGTTCAGGGTTTAGGGTCTAGGGTCGTAAGTTCAGCTCCCTGTTCGGCAGGCTCTGCTTAAAGAGATCCAGGTTCGGTGATAGCTTCCTGTGGCCTTTTTACCTACACCCTGAAATTTTAGGGTTTAGGGTTTAGGGTTTAGGGTTTAGGGTTTACCCCAGAAAACCCCGCCAACCGTGCTGAACCCTGATGAATTTCAACTGAATCTTCGCAGCACTTTTGGCGTTCGGCTAACCGAATAGCTGTCAATTCACGTTTTGTACCGAAGCACCGAAAGGCTAAGGATCTAATGCCACAGCAACGAACAAGAGAGCATGTCAAGACAAAAAAACCCCAAAACCCCAAACAGCAATCCAAAACCCGAATCTCCGAACCCCTTCTAAACCCCAAAACCCTCAAACTCCCTGAGCCCTAAATCCTAAGCACCCCTTTACCCCTAGAGCACCCCAAACCCTAAACCCGAAACCCGAAACCCTAAACCCTAGCCCTAAACCCTAAACCCTGAACCCTGAACCCTAAACCACCCACCCCAACCCCCTGGCACCTACCGCAACCTGGGCTCTGCAGGCCAGCGACAGGCCAGGCCATCGGACGAGCCCATGGGGGGTGGTGGGATTTAGGGTTTACGGTTTAGGGTTTAGGGTTTAGGGTTTAGGGTTTAGGGTCTCGCTTTGAGGGAAAAGCTCAGGTTGAAGGGGTCCACGTCTTCGTCCCTCAAGCCCTGTGCAGGGCGCAAAGGGGCTGGCTGGGCGGCTGCGATGCACCGAAGTACAAGTTGAAAGTCGTTGCTGCTGGAACTTTTGCTACCCTAAACCCTAAACCCTAAACCCTAAACCCTAAAACCAGTGAGACTGAGCTACTACTGGAGGCCAAACACTGACGCGGGGCACCCTTTAGAACCACAAAACAGCTGCAAGCAATCTCAAGTCAAGGAGCTTGCTGGACACCTTGAGGTTGGGATTCGGGTTTGCGGTGTAGGGTTTGGGGTTTAGGGTTTAGGGCTAGGGTTTAGGGTTCAGGGTTTAGGGTTTAGGGCTTTTAACAAGGAAGCTGATATAAACCATACGCCAGTTGGCAATCTGTGTGTAGAGGAGCACCAATCCCATCCACAGTCAGAAGCCCTTCTGAACAAATAGCCGTCGCTGTGATATTGGATGAACTATGTTCATTGACAATATGGGGGGGGGGGGGGGGTTCCGAAATTAGGGGTACCTTATTGGGGTCCTTAATTAGTATAAGGGAACCCTACTATTTGGGGACTATATTAGGGGTACCTTAGTTTCGTAAACTCCCATATTCAGCATAGGATTATACACATCAGTTGCCAGTTGTGTTATTCTTAATCTCACCAAGTGAAGTATTACATGTATCAATCCCACCGTACTTGTATATTCACTTCAAACAGATTACAAGCCTTTCCCACATTATCTTGGTAGCCCAGTAACCATCTTATAATAAGGGCACCTTCTTTTTGAGTTGGTTCTTTTGTAAGGGAAACCAGAACCCAAAAGAAGGGCAAAGGGTACCAATGGGCTACCAAGTTATTAAATTCGGATGACCACCAGCTCGGCCCTTTGCGAATACGCCAAAACTACATCACACCTGAAGATCTACAAGGAGGGGCCCCCTTACTATACTAACTGTAGTTAAGGGACTTGTAACCTAATTTAGGATCCCTATAACCCTATTAGGGTTCTTCTAACTCTACTCAAAACTAGGGGGCCCCTCCTTGTAGAGGGTAGGTCGAAAGGGAGCAGGGCTCAGCATCTTAGCGCTGCAGATGTTTAGCCCCGATGGAAGAATAAAGCCGCCCAAACCCTCAACACCCCAAAGAAGGCCCCTCGACACCAAGCACGTGCGAACCCATCGGGCGCCCCCGCATCTGTGTGGCTTCGTACCTGTTGCCCATCATAGAGCCCTACACCCTACACCCTAAACCCTAAACCCTAAATCCAAAACGCCCCTTAAGGGAGTTATAGGGCTTAGAGTTCAGAGTTGTCGGGATTTGAGGAGCACCAGCACTGCGTATACTTTGTCCAGGGTAGGGATAAGGAGTATGTGTGAGGTGCAGAGCCCCCTCAAACCCTAAACGTTAACCCCGAACTCTCACAGGGGATGCCTGCGTCTCTGAGGGCCCCCGCGCTCTAAACATAGAGCTTCGGGGGTTTTGGGTTTAGGGTTGAGGGTTGGGATGTTCCCCCGTCTACTAACAGTCCTGAATAGGGATTATGGTACCCGGGTGCCCCCTATTCTGATCCCCATTAAGGACTGTTGGAGTAAGGGGAACATCCCAAGCGGTTTAACGCGCCCACGGTGACCACAGCCTGTTACCTCCTTCTTGGACGCTGAGTGGGCCTAGCCGGAATCTTCTCCTAACCCCCAAACCCTCAACCCTCAACCCTAAACCCTATAGACCCTAAACCCTAAACCCTAAACCCTAGACCCTAAGCCCTAAAGAGCTCCCTAGACTCCCCTTCAGCGTTCTATGAAAATGGCGACTTGGCCGTCAACCCCCAAGTCTCACAAGCGCGCGAAGAGGGTTTGGGGCTTAGGGCTTAGGGCTTAGGGTTTAGGGTTTAGGAGTTTAGGGTCCCAGCTCCACCTCACTGTAAACAGCCCGACACTCTCGTCTAACTGACAGCTTCCGATGCAACCCTGAACTCTAAACCATCTTGAAACTCAAATAGGGGAAAGTTTAAGTCATCCCCGGGCGGGGGGGGGGGAGGGTTCGGGGCAGCTACCTACCACCCTGAACCCCAAAACCCACAACCCTAACCCTCAACCCAAATCCTAAACCTTGCTGCCTCTTGCGGCCCTTGATAGTGACCTCGACCTTTTTCTCACACCTCAGCACTGAGGAGGTAGAGGGCTCTTGCTCTCAGAAATCGTTGAAGGCTTGCGGTAGTTTGGGATGTTTAGGGTTTAGGGCTAGGGTTTAGAGTTTAGGGTTTAGGGTTTAGGGCTAGGGTTTGGGGTATTTTGGGATACTTCGGGTTTGGGGTGGATATCTGCTTCGGGGTCACCTGGGAAGGGAAGGCATGGGTCGTGGATGCTTTAGTGTTCAGGGTGTACGGTTTAGGGTTTAGGATGAAAACCCTAAACCCGAAAGGGTTTAGGGTTTAGGGCGCTGTGAGTTCCCTCGACCGGAAAGACCCGCGCGGAAAGTTCTTAGCTTAGGATGTGCCCCTATAAAAAGTCTCCCGGACCTTGCATGTGAAACCCTAAACCCTAAACCCTAACCATAAACCCTAAGCCCTAAGCCCTAAGCCCTAAACCCTAAACCCTAAACCCTAAACCCCAGCCCTAGGAAGCAGTGGCAGGAAAAAACCCGAAAAGGGGCCTGAAACGGGCCACTGGCTCCTTGCGACGTGGCTTTGCGCTTTGGGGTGGTGGGTGTTCAGACGTTACTTGAGCCCCCAAGGCGCGGCCCCTACTGTAATACCCAAAAAGACCCTGGGTTTAGGGTTTAGGGTTTGGGGTTTAGGGCTTAGGGTTTGGGGTTTAGGGTTTAGGGTTTAGGGTTTAGGGTTCCCTCTAAACCCTACAGTCGATGAAGGCTGCTGGGAAGAAGGCTCGCCGGGCTGGAACCTGGCATGCAAGGCGGTGAAGGTTCTGAGGGTTTAGGGTTTAGGGTTTAGGGTTTAGGGTTTAGGGGTTTAGGGTTTAGGGTTTAGGGTTTAGGGTTTAGGGTTTAGGGTTTAGGGACTGCACCCCCCCCCCCCCCCCCCAACATGGTCTTCGACTCCCTGAAGGTTTAGGGTTTAGGGTTCCTAGGAATAAAAGGGGTTGGTTGGACTGTTTTGGTGCTAGGGGAGGAACCCCAACCCTAAAAAAAGGAAATAAGGGTCTACTCCGCGTCCTAGCAAACCCCAAAAACCTACACCCCCTGAACTCTCTGAACCCCCTGAACCACCCCTAAACCCTCTAAACCCCTAGAACACTGCAGTTTAGGGCTTAGGGGAAACTGGGAACCTGCTTGAATTGAAAAGTAGCCGCCGTTAACGCTCACGGGTTGCTGGACGCCCCGTTTTGATCGAGAATAAACGTTTCCAGGGTTTAGGGTTTAGGGCTTAATGAGGGTTTAGGCACTCTTGTACAAGGTGCTTCGGATTTAACGGCGCCGTGACAGCATAGTGGCTTCCATCCGCTAGCCAAAACGCCCAGCCGACACGCCCGCCCCCCCCCCCCACCCCACCCTACTAAGCAATAGCAACCCAAACGAGGTCACCCTAAACCCCAAAAGAACTAGCTTCTGCTGATTGTCAGCACAAGGACAAAACTGATAGATGCTGGCTGGGACAAAAACCCAACTCATCATCCCAAGTGCCAAGCCCCGAGCCCTAGGCCCTAAACACTCGAACACTCTTCGCGGCCACCACGTGGTCACTTCTTTGAAATATAGTCTCTTTTGTTGACCCATATTATAAGGCGGCATTTCCAGGGTACCAAAAAAACCCTAAACCCTAAACCCTAAACCCTAAACCCTAAACCCTAAACCCTAAACCCTAAACCCTAAACCTAAGCCCATAATTTAGCGAACTGACCATGTAACATGCAGGCAGCACTCCAGCGTTCCCTCTAGAGGCGCGAAGTCGTCACCCGCCTGGCGCGAGGGGGGGGCTGAAGCGGAGTTCTGCTCTTGAGGCTCGGGCATATTAGGGTTCAGGGTTTAGGT